TTTCTCATTTCTACTGAGAACTAAAAATTGTTTCATTTCATTTCAAATTTATGCAATACCTTATTTCTAATATATCTACCTTATGAGCTAAACCTTTTAGAAAAATCTTTGTCATACTTAGTGCTGCAAACCATTCACTTTAATTAACAAAATAAATTAAACTTTATCTTAGCATTCTTGGTTCTATATTCTTCTTCTTCCAACAACCAATGGGCATAGCATATGAATTTCTATAACCTTCTTAATATCCTTAGAGAGTTCTATCTTTCTTTTGTTTTATTTTCGACTTTGTAATTTGACCAACATTTCAAGTTTCTCCTCTTTATCACTAATGTCGTTGATCCAATAATTTGTCATCATCCTTAAACAAATATAATAATTTAAAACTTCCTTATACTCATAATTTCTCTACTTCAAACGAAACCCACTTGTTTTATTTTCGATACTATTTATAATCATTTTCAAATATTCTCTGCTACATTGCATTTATTTCTCCAGCTCACTATTTCAAACTATAAATTTCAACTGATCTTATTATTATTACCTTCATTGCATTTCCTTGTTTCTTACTAATCCAAATAATTGTTGCCTCATTTCAAATTCAAAATAACTTTTCTACTTTCTACTCAGACATTGTTCATACTTACACTATGCTTTCTACTATATATATGTGATGGTTGCAAGATAATGGAAATATAGAGAAGATATTTCAGGAAGAAGAAGCAGAAAAGATATGAGAAATCAAGAATTCATTCAGAAAATATGCATAATTCTCTCTTTACAGGTACCCGTTTTATTTGTATACAATAGTACTAGAGAATCTAACTAGTCAGCTGGCTGTCCTTGCCTAACTAATTTGGTTACTTCAACATGAATTGGGCTCCACATTTGGGCTGTTCAATTGCTGGATTAATGATCGTCTGTGCCTCTCACGTGCCAATGCCAGGTATCAATTCCTAATTTTTCTTTCAATCCCTGACCCTTGACTCTCTCTTTCCCCAAATTCATCTTCGTTTTCTCGTCCTTCTCCCCCGACTGTGACAATACCCGCCGCTGGAGACGATCCTTGTCCCCAAGGATCAAAGTTTGGAAACTGTCCTCTGAGAACGGTATAATCTTCCTAGGTATCACTCGTCTCATCAAATCCAATATCATTGAAAAGTACAATTATTGTTGGCTTTCGTGTACAATTGGGAATTCAATTCCCTAGCACATAAACATCAACGAAATCTAGTTCAACTCCAAATTTTTCGCCAAAATATCCTTAATCCCTTCTAATTCTAATATTCAATCAAGTTTATAAATAAATATTTATATACTTTTAACTGTGAAACTCGTTAATCTTTAACAAGAATCTTTATCAATATGAATCCTTGTTGCATCTTATCATGGAATTTAATTATTCACACTTGTTTCCTATAAAATCTTTTTCTTCTGAACATTTCTAAATTATTAACCTTGAACAACCATCTATTAGGGCTTAATATGGAAGAGGTCCAATTCGTAACCAAATTTATCCTGAATTCTTAGTAGAGACTTATATACTATTCATCATTTCTTTTTTGACCTAAAACATTTAACACTCACTTTATATTCTAATATAAAATTTAAATCCATCAGTTCTCAACTTCTTTTTTACAATCAAATGTTTCTAAACTTCATATCCTGTTTTACCTCGGGAGCTCTCGTAGTCTGACATCTATTAACATTTAATTTCATAACTAGACTAGCAAGGACATCATACTCATTACACCATCAGATTAGAGATACTTGTTATTTTGTTGGCATGTACAAACTAAACATTTTTTACAGTCGACCGACCGGTCTATTTCAAAAACATGTACTTGAGCCAGATACGAATATGAAGTGTCACATTAACTTTTTGACTCTTTGAAAATTTTGACTAAATGTTTGACTTTTATTGGAAAAATGAAAACAGATTTACAAAACATATCAGAGCATCTACAATTTAAAACATAATTAGTACATGCCAATAACCTTTCAAATCAAAATTTATACAATTCAAATTTCTCTCTGATCTAATAATTCTCACCAGTATATTGTCCTGCCCTTGCTTATTCAACTTACTCCTCGAAGCTCGCGGATCCTACGTGTGAAAACAATCACACACTAAGTCTATGACTTAGTGAGGCATAATGAGTATCATAAAATCATAAAACATTTATTTACACATTTCATAGAAAACATTTCTCAAAGAATTCAAGTTACTTTCATAACAAAATGTATATTTTAATCAATTGTTCAGTTTATATTACTTTATTTTTAATAGCCCAACGCATACTACTGAGAATGCTAGATATTTGAGTACATTGAGGTTGTGCACTAATGCTATCACCACAGCTCAAATAATTTGCATTGAAGTGCCACATATTTTTCCAGAAGGACCACATAGTTTTGTCCCAAATGACCACATAGAACCCTCGACTCTTGGCATGCCAATTATACCTCTAATTCTCATACATATACCTTGGGCTTTAGCTTTACCATTATTTTCCATTTCATTATTTAAAGTGTATATTATTCTCATAAAGTACATTCACATATGGTTCACTTTCACATATATCACTTTTTCTGAGCACATAGATTATTTTCATATAGAACATTTTCACATATCATCTTCACGTAGAAACTTTTACATAGTATATCACATAGTATTATATTTAAATCCATATATCATTTCATGTCAAATTTCATAAACAAAATATATCAAATATCAGAAATATTATTTCATACTTCAAATCATTTACATTTACAAATTTTCAAGATTTGGCTCTTCACAAACCAAATTATTCACAATTTATTTATCAAAGTTTGATAAAAGTATTTCATGGTAAAATTCCAAACATTTCCTTTCAAAACATTCGAGGTTGACTTATTGCGAGTCTTCCTCTTATTATATTTAAAAGAATAGTAAAATGCACTCACCTTTGCCTCACATAAGTTTTAAGCAGACATCCTTTCACTGTAGCTTACTAACTTTACATATCCGTTTGTTCAGTACTTGCTTTCAATCAAATCTACACATTTTATATGACTCATGAATATCAAAACTCAATTACATTGAACCAATTAACTTTTACCTAAACAAATTGAAGCACTAAATTTAATATTTCAGCCTTAATAGTATCGGTACTTTTTCTGTAGTACTGATACTTCTCTTATGGTATCGATACCTACTTCAGTACCGATACCATTTCAACATTCTGGAATTTCTTCTTTACTTAAAGTATTGATACCTTATCCTTGGTATCGATACCTTTACTTCAGTATCGATACTTCTTCAACTAGTATCGATATTGTTCATCCAGTTCATACTATTTCCTTTAATGTAACCTATTAATATCGATATTGTTCTTCCAGTACCAATACCTTTACCCAGAATTCATCCATTTTACTTCAAAAATTTACCCAACTTTACTAAAATCTCCTATTTAGACTTCATTCATGCCTTTAAACTCATTTACACTTATTACCACTAACTTATCCATTAAAACCCCTCTAACACCTCAATTTCTCTATAAATCTCTTGAAACTAAAATCATATCAATTCTTCAAACTTGTTCTTAATCCATTCTAACACTTCTAACCCCTTAATTAAACCCTTGACAAGTCAAATAATCTTTAATGATCCAAAAATAATCAATTTAAATCAATTCTCTTAAAAACTCATTTTTTTTAAATCACCATTAAATCATTAATATCTTGGTTTCAATTCATCCTTAAGCTTTATAAAGCTTCAACATCACCCAAAGAACCAAAACCAAATCAGAAATGAAAGAAATAATCAACTTTGAAATCTCATACCTTAGCATGGAGGTTCACGGGGAAGATGAGAAGAGGAGCAAGCTTCCAGAGTTTTCCTTTCTTTCTTTCTCCCTTGATCACGTGTTAAATAACCCTTAAAATGAATTTTTAATTCATTTCTGTCAAAAGACCATTTTACCCTTCAATCCTTCAAACCTTGATAATAAATCCTAAACAAAATTCCCAAAATTAATACTTGAACTTTTCAGTTTATCAAAGATTACCGCTAACTTTTAAATCCTTACACTTTGGTCAATGACCCGATGTTTGGGGTGATGCATTTTAATTAGATTATCCTTTTTGACATAATTGATTAGGTTAACAATTAGAGCCTCCAACTTAAGGTTAGATTTCAATTTAGTCTCTTTAATTTAGGGAGTGATCTGAGTTGGCCCTTGCCTAAATGCTCAAAGGACCATATCGATTATTCCATAGCTGGTTAAAATCAAGTAGGATTAATATTAGAGTATAGGTTTGAGCATCTAGGTTCTTTAAGTTTCATAATTTAACACTCTGAGATAAAGAAAGTCTTAATCTACTCTTAGTTTAATTGGGGTTAATAATAAACTTTTGATTGCATCATATTTTAAAATCTAAGGTAATGTTCACTTATTAGGTAGTTAATAGTATATCTCCTGTAAGTATGTTTAGGGGGTGACTACTGGTGATTCCCAAAATAGGTTTACATCATTTTCAAGACTGCATCATGATTTCTAAAATCGAGGCAATGTCCTGTTATTGGGCACAATAATTGATCTCCCGCATTCATGCTAAGGGGCGAATGCTATTGCCTTTAATAAACTAGATAAAGTTCAAACTCAAAATTTTCAATTCTAAATATAGGGTAATCAACTAGGTACCAATTTTTTGACGTTGTGGGGGTGTTAATTCTTCTCCACGCGTAACCGACTCCCTAACCTATTTTATGGTTTTTGTAGACCCTAGAACTTGATATTTTGATAAAAATAAAATATTTTATTAAAATCACTCAGTTTTTATGGTGTCCCAATCGCACCTTAAAATGATTGGTGGTGACTCCTCACATTTCAAAAAAATTTCAAAGAAAAACCCTCAATTCATAGAAGTGTTTTTTCCCACCCGAAAAAACAGTGTCAACAGCATGTAATGGTTTATAGCTAAAAACTGAGTTCACAAGTTCTGGTTGGTGCATACAGGGCCTAAAGGACGTGCTTACTTGCTGCTACTGGTGCGCATGAATCATCTGGTTGTAGAGACAATTGATGGGCTGATTTCTTATCGAGTCTTGTGAATGAGAGTCAAACTGATGGGCATATCAACTTTATCAAGTATACAAATTGCAAACAAGATCAAAGTAGACAACCAAAAGACAAATTTGCCTTGTGTGTAACATTTGAAACTATCACTGGTTCTTGAGAAAGTAAACGAGGTATCTATTTTCACAAGCTATTTGAATTTAGTTAAAATTAAATAAATATCAAGTTCAGCTCGATTGTTGTTTAGTCCAGGATCCTGATATCAAGTAATTTTGTGTTTTGTTTTTTCTGTATGACCTCAATTCACGATTGACAATATGCATAAGCAGTAAGTGCAATAGTATCTTGTCTTCTTGCATCCACTAGTCCATGTTCTTAACATCGTCCGCTATATGAGGCAATTTTTCTACATGCGAACATTCTTTGACTGAATGATGCATATTTCAACAATTTTGCCCGGTCTTCCATCAAAGTTCGAGCCAATTGTGGTGGTTATAACGTTGATTCGATTGCCTTACATGCTTGATAGAGTTTGCAACGCCTTGTCCGATACAGAAACCCGATAGTAAGACTTGCTTAGCCTGAATATTTTTTCAGTTAACTTAACACATGGAATTGTTCAAAGTTCAAGTTCAGTCAATCGGAATTATAGTCTAGTTGGAGCGTATTAAAACTCTAAAACAAAAATATGATATACCTTCCCTTGGCTGAGGTCCTCCGACTATATCTGAATGCGGCTGAGTATCTCTTCGTCTTGTTGTTGTTTCAAAATTTAAACTTAAAAACTATTAAAGCTCTGTAAACAGCATTTGTTTGGACATCCACGTATGTGAAACTTGAAATGTCTGCATACCTGCTCCAGCATTTGTTGGGACATCCCATGTTTATAGCCGATGTAAATAACATAGTTTCACTTTTATTCATACAATAGCCAGCGCAATCGAGTTAAAAGCTATGTGGAGCTCCATAAATGCTCTTTCTCAGTTCATTGCTAGAGAAGTGGGCAATTTTTGACACCCGAGATGCTTGCTACATGATGGTGATAGGTTTTTATTGGTTCTCAGCATGTTCAGATGTCTTGTAAGCGTGACTAGCTTTAGCATTATTTCATGTATAGGTTAGTTTCTATGTCAGAATTTGCATATATAGGAAATTTCCTTGAGAATATGATTGAATGTCATACTGATGCAGCTTTCATTAAAACCATCTATTCTGTACTGCAGAGTAATGGTATCTGAACATGTGGAATGAGTCCAACCCTTTGTTGAACTCCACACTGACAGGTCAGGATCGAAATTCCTATCTATGCTTTTATCTGGTAGGGGTCATGCCATGCTTCCTACATGCATTATTTGAAGGTTTTTGGCCTTTCAATCAGTTACTTGTTAACCTTATTGATAACAATCATCAGTCATTAAGGTATTAATGATTAGCCACATCCTTCACATCAAAACCATTACCTGTTTCTCAGGTTTACTGGCATCAGCAGGGATTATGGTGCTGAGTTAGCACTTAGAAAGGTGCACATTTGTGCTGTTATTGTACTACAAAACACTGATAAAAATCATTCTAAAACCTACCAGTGCTCTGTGGTTTGTGCATTCAAGGGAAAAGGAAGGCCCGTTTGCCACTAAAATCTTTGCAAATTGCTCTGCATCAAGAACAAGAGAAGGCAATATGATCACATGGCAGCTACATAAAAGACAGCACGCAATTGCTGGTCCACCAGCTGCAGAATTCTCAATAAAAACAAGTCAGCTTTTTGTTGTTGTATATCATTCAGTAGAAGAAGTTTTTGGATGTTTCCAATTGACGTTATCTTCTCCGTATTAGTTTCATGCATTACAAAGCAAAAATACTTTTGAGAATGAATGGCTTTTTTCTAACCCGTAGAGCAACTAGAAATAGCCATTATGGACCACATCGACTTATTGACATTGCTACTAAATATTAATTTACAACTCAAAATGTCATTCTTGACGTTGTCCAACTACAACGTCATGAGCTGATTTCAGTGCTTTTGGGAAAATGCTATATTCAGTATTTTTTACAGTGAAAAAAAAACCCTTTCTTTATGGGAAATGATTGTCAACATTCGGTGAAAGCTTGAATCAATCAATGCTGTAAGTAGGGTTTAATGAATTGAAAAAGATAGTATGAAGCATAACATACTTTTCATCCCATTAAAAGATGTAAGATGCTTTCACCGATTATGAAATAAGAAAATGTATTATTGTATAAACTTGCACGTGTAAATCCATGTCAAACTGATGTGTAGTTTTTCCAAATTTTAATGGATTGTGTATTATTCTTTTCCTGACATTTTATAGAGTTTCTGATAATGTCAATTCAGAATTCATCTTTCAAGCTGTCTTTGATTGTATCCATCCACTCAACTCCTCACAGGAACAAGGCTGCCTGTTTTTCTGCTTTAAAGCTGATCTCTACTAACTTTAAAAGAGGAAGAAATTATGCAACCTCTGCTTTTCTTTTCCGTTTTCATTCAAGTTTAACACCTGCTACTTTTTTCTCCACCATTAATCAACTTGTTTCTCATAGGATTGCGGAAACAATAACGATAGAAATTTGTGAGCAGAAAAAATAATCAAAGTGATATTATCGTAAAATAAGACATAGGTATCCTATCCTCTTATATGAACCAAAAGTACTTGGACATTGATTTTTTGTTAACTACTAGGTGAATAGACTCTTAGTTGTTAATCCCTCAGGTAGGGCCTCATAATAATCATCATCAATCAGAAAATTAAAAGAAATAAAAGTATTTAGCAATCAAAGAGACTAATTGCAAAAGAAAAGTCTGGGAGAAAAAGGGGGGTCCAATTCCAACTACAGATTTGGTGTGATGGTGTTGAGCCATGTTAGGCCAAATCCAACCCCATCTTCTTCTTCTTTTGCAGGTCCACTAAAGTTATCTTTTGGCAAGGTTTTGGTATACATGTATATAAGGACGGATCGAAGGGGTGCGGTGTCCCCTGAAAATTTTAAATTCCTATATAGTTTATATATTTTCTATAATTTTACATCTCCAAATTTCTAATATAACTTTCAAAACTCACATCATAAAATCTTGTTTACGCCCCTGTATGTATGTATGTATGTATGTATGTATGTGTATGTATATATATATAGGTCAGATTATGGTGGGGTTAATGTTTGTATAAAGGTCATAAGGAAGCATTCTAAACTCTCACCTTTTTTTATCAGATTTATGTGGTTACAAACTACGGTAGACTATTCAAAGATAAACAAAGGTGTAAAGTTTAAAGTAGTCCCCTTTCATTTCAAAAGAGAATTTTAAATTTGGGTTTAACTTAATCAAGTGTCTTTCAAGGACTAAGATTACAAGGATTAGAGTTTTTTTATTAGTATGTATGATTAAAGTGTAGTATTTTCAAAAAAATTCTTAGTCATTGATATGTATTTACATTTTGTAAATTTAGCAGCTCAAACTTTTATCACGTTTAATAGATTCATATAGATTAGAGATTTTTTCTATGGGAATTTTTTATGGGATTTAAAGAATTCGTAAAGGAAAAACGATGTAACGTGTTCAGGGTTGCTTTTCAGTTAAGCAAATTTATAAGGTATCAAACAATAAAACAATGATGTAGAAAAAAGGTGTTATAAATTTAACAAGCTGGGCATCACCTTGAAGCATAAATTATTTTATGGTTGAGGTAGTGTGGCATTTCACCCACAGTCCTCTTTCTATAATCCCAAAGGCAAAATCATGTGAACAAATTGTGGTCCCACGAATCCATCCAACATCCCCAAGTTTAAGCTTTTTAAAGTCTTTGTATTATGTTTTAAATAATACATGAAATATTGGTTTTCCCAAAAACTAGTTTTATGTCATATTTTTTATTTTCCCAATCTACAAAAATCAAAATCTATGAGTGTTGGGTATATGTTGAATGTTTTGTTGTCTTGAAGCATGGTGGGACAAATAGTCCAAAGCCAGCATTCCACTAATGATGTTGAAAGAAATCGAGGAAGACAAAGAACAAACAATACATGGGAATATCTCTACAGCAAAATAAATTCTGAGGCAGAGCCACCCTTCACATTGGAGAAACAAATCAAACCACAATAACCTCACCTCTGCTACCATAGCTTTGTATTTTGTTGTCCCCTAAAAAACCCAAGATAAGGACAAAACCGGGAACCTTCCTATACATTTAAAAAAAACTCAAATTTTTGTGAAATTGTGAATGTCAAGGTTTAAGACTAAAAGTTGAAGACAATAGGCAAGGAATTCAATTTGAAGGAATTGGGGGAGTGACATTGGAGAAAAGGTTAAGGTATGCATTTATAGTTTTGGATTTTAGAGATCTAATGAAATAGATTAGATAGAGTGTTGGTGTTTTTGAAGTGATTAGTGCTAACTGTGTGGGTCTAATAATAGGAGTGTGGGAGTGGGAATAAAGGAAGGAAAGCGAAGGTGCATGCCATTGCCCTGGGGAAGGGTAGATTATGGTAATATATTTATATGACAAATTGGTAGTATGGGATATAGTGTAAATAGTATAGGAAAGGGAAAAGTAGGAATTTTGGCAGGGTTTGTGAGGGATTAGGAGGCAAAGAATGTGAAGGTATTGGGTTGGTGATAGTGGGTTTGATGCCGCCCATGCACGCCGGCAGCTTTTACTCTTTTTTCCTTTCCATCTCGCACGCCTACTCTCACTAAATCTATACCATTTTTCATTCTCTTTCTTCCCCAATAAAATATGCACAATACGTCATGATATCTACATAGTACCTTGTATATATATTTGATTATACAGCTATTCAACAACCCATTTTATGATATGGGCTCTCTTCTCTTTTTTCTTTTCAGATAAATTATACTATTCCCTAAAACACCAGCTTAGCTGATGTTAACTAGCCACGAAATAAAAGGAAAATGAAATTAGAAAGCAAGCATGCCCTAAAAGAATAAGCTATGCTAGAAAAGAACCCTCGGCCACTACCGGCCACCTCCATTTTACTCATCGATTACACAAAAGAAAAGCATATTTTTGACTGTCACAACATAGATTCCCAGCCCCTTTACTTTTCTTTTTTCTTAATAAGTAAGTGATTGTGTTTGCCAAAACCCAATTACATACATAGTTTTTAAT